ACCAAGGGCTCAAGTAGAAAGCAAATGTTTTGAGAATGATGATGGCAACAAATGTACTTGACACAATGGATGGTTGGATGGATTGTGGTAAGAGTTGTATGAGCCCCTAATAAAATGATTTTAAAGAAAAAAAAACCAGTGCATATACAGAGTGGCAGCAACTATAGGTTCTCAAACATAGCAACTGTTGTGAGGTTGTACTTCTACAGAGTTGATTCTGACTCAAAACCGTGGGACACAATGGAACTCCCTGGGGGTCTCTAAGACTGCAACTCTCCGATAGTAGAAAGCCTGATCGTTTCCTACACGATGGTTGGTGGGTTCAGACTGCCGAACTTAAGGCTCGAAGCATAGCCTGTGTACACCAGGGCTCCTTGTTAGATGTAGTCAGTATGAGTTGAAACTGATTGGATGGCATCTAACAACACAACAGATGCCTCAGTGACAGTATTAGTTACATGTCCTCTCATCAAGAAGCAGAAACAGAACCTCCCCAGAGAATTTACATTGTATTTAAGTGCACTTTGAAGGGTGTTCTCCTACCCTCAACTCTTCAAGCTTTTGTTTTCATTGTTAGACTGTTAATCTCCTTTCTCCCCCTACCTAATTTCTCTGTTCTGTTACAATGATAGTGATCTAATTAACTCATCATTGATGAACAAAGAAAATCTTGTTAATTTCCACTTTGAAACTTAATGTAGTTGTAGCTTTACTTTCACATTTTTTTGTGTGGAAATTATCTGGTGATGAGGTATTTTGTTTTAAATGTTCTAACTTTTCTAACAACTGCTTTCCGGTGAGTTGAGAATGTTCTAAGTGCTTAGTCTGATACTGTCAACTTGTTTTACATTCTTTTAAGACAAATAGAGCCATTGCATAAAAAAGTACAGTGCTCTGTCATGTAATTCAATTAATACTGAACTTAAGGACTTAAAAGTTAGACATTTGAAGTCCTTATATCCTCTAGATATGAAAGATGGGTACTGATAACAATTTATAGGTACAGAGGAAATAAAACTAAATCACTGCAGTGATGTCTAGTGTGCTAAGCAGCTATAGGAGAGCCACCCCCCACCCCCGAGGCTCTGACTCCACTGTTTAGCTCTGCCTCCAAAGCACAAAAGAAGCTGAAGATAATACATCATTGAATAAGTATGACTGTGTTCTAATAAAACTTAGACACCGAAATTTGAATTTGCGTAATACTATTTTTATACATTAAAAACTATTAATTTTTTGTCAGCTACTTAAATTATGAATGCATTTCTTCGCTCGTGGACTGTACAAAAACAAGCAATGGATTGCATTTGGCTATGGGCTGTAGTCGCTTTTATCTAGAGGAAAGGAAAAAGAGGGGGACTGCCTTTCAAGAGGAGCCTTGGTTGTGCTGTGGGTTCGGCACTGAGCTGTTACCTAAAGGTCAACCTAAAGGTTCAAACCCACCAGCTGCTCCACAGGAGAAAGAGAGAGGCTCCTATAAAGACTTAGCTTGGAAGTCCTATGTGGGTTGCCAGAATCAACTCATTGGCAGTCGGTTTTGTTTGTTACAAGAAACTTCTGGGGGAAGAGTACATAGCTGAACAGAATTTTGAAGAACGAGCGTGTATTTGGAGATTTCAAGTATTAAGTTACTAGTAAGACAATTACGGATCTGTGGTAGTACAGTGGTTATGTGGTAAGTTGCTTAAGCAAAAGTGGTTCAAACCCTCCAGCCACTTAATGGGAGCAAAGATGTAGTGATCTGCTGCTTTGAAGATTCCAGCCTGCACAATACAGGGGCAGCTCCACTCTGTCCTGTAGGGTAGCCAAGAGTTGGAGTAAACTTACAGCACTCGAGAGCAACTGCAACAGGAAGCTAGTTGCTGCCCAGAGAGAACATGGTCAGAGCAGGAGGAAAGAGTGGAGAGCACCTGACAGAGGCTGTCAGGGAGCGACCCTCGTGAGGAGAGCAACTGGCCGAAGTTGAAGAGGAACCAGGTCTGGATCATGTAGATCATGGCGAAGAGTATTTTATTGGAACTTGGTGTATTTCTTTATTTCTCCAACTGTATACTGTTATTTGAAGATGTTAACCTGTGCCTCCCTCACCTACTGATTGATCCTTTGAGGGATTATTACCAGGGAGTAGCCCCCCAAAAAGTGGGGAAAAGCTCTGCTGGGAGGAGCTTTCATAGTACGCCACTGCACCTGCCCCCGCCCCGCCTGCCCTCTCCTCCAGGCAAGCACTGAGCAACCCGCTCTGAGTTAGTGCAGCCTAGTGGCGTAGCCTGGGAAGGTTCTCTGTGGTCTCATTGAATTTTTTTTTTTGTAAAATCAGTTTTGCTCAGAGTTATTTTGTTTTGTTAATTCAAGCCTCGTTTTTTTATGATGATCAATTTAAGAGAACAGTGTGCGGCTGTGAAATTTTGTTTCCTGCTTGGGAAAAATGCCGCAGAAACTGTTGTGATGTTGAACACACCTTACAAGGACAGCGCTATGGGAAAAACTCAAGTGTCGGAGTGGTTTTCTTGTTTCAAAAAATGTGAAATGTTGATTGATGACAAACCTTGTTCTGGATGTCAGTCAGCTTCCCGAACGGACGAAAATGTCAACAAAATTTGTGCACTTGATGGACCACTGAAGAGATGGGGATGTTATCTGGACTACCTCGAGCTTGGTTCAGCAAATTTTAAGGGAAGATTTGGGAATGAGAAGTGTCGCTGAGAAATTTGTGCCTCAGTTTCTGAGTGACCAGGAAAAAGAAGGTTGAGCGGAAACATGCCATGCTTTGGAAGAACAGCTCCGAAACCACTCAAAGGCCATTCCTGGTGAAGAGAAGATGCTATTTTTATTACTCTGGATGCAAACATCAATCAAACCAGTGGAAGATACCATCGTCACCTCACCCGAAAAAAGCTTGTCAAGTGGAAATGAAGATCAAGATGATGCTCATTTGGTTTTTTTTTTAATGTGAGGGGCATAGTATATTTGGAGTTCATTCCACCAGGTCAGCCTGTTAAGCTTTCTTTTTAGAGGTTCTGTAAAGATTGCGTAACAGTGTTTGACAAAAAAGGCCTAATTTGTGGCAGACGGGACTGGTTTTGCCACCATGACAATGCACCTGCTCACGCGGCCATTTCAGTTGCCAGTTTTTGGCAAAAAACAGCATGCCTCTCTTGCCCATGCACCTAACTCATCTGACCTTGCTTTGTGTGACTTGTGTGAATGAAGAGGGATATGAAGGAGTAACGATTTGTCGAAGTAGAAGAGGTGAAGAAAAAAACGAGGGAGGTGCTGTCAGCCACCCAAACAGATGAGTGTGAAAAATGTTTCCAAGCATGAAATCACAGATTTGACAAATGTATAAAGTGTAATGGAGAGTACTTTGAAGGTGATAAAGTTGTTTTGTAAAAAAAATTAAAAATATAGCTTTGGGGGAAAAGATTCCATTTTGGGGGGGTACCTACCCCTTGTATGTTGTATATATTCTATGTGTATATTTATGCATTTTATCCAATTGCAGTTACCCAGTTTGGAAAACCTGAAAAATGTCCTTCGTTACTTGTGGAAAGGTTTTATCATAGCTTTTTGATTACTTTGATTTCATGCATGATAATAGTAAATAAAATGCATTATTCTTTACAGACATCTTACGCCCAGCTCCTTGCAGCCACTTGTCTTTCAAAACTCGTTAGCCGAGCCAATCCTTTACCTATTGAACAGAGGATAGATATCAGTAAGTGATTTATTATGTTTTTATAAATTGTATTTTATAAATAATGTTTCTTTTATAATATGCTAATTTTTATTAGGCATATGACTTCCTTCAGTCTGGCTTTTCTTTTAAGGTGAGTATTCAAGTCTTCATAAGCAGTGATGAACAGTGGTGTTTGTTAAACAGAACTGTAATAAAAAAAGCTTTTCCTTAATTTCATAATAAGTAATTAGTAGCATTTTACAGTGTTTACTGTATAGGGTTGCTGTGACTAAGAATTGACTCAGAGTCAAAGAGTTGGTGATACTACTGAGATAACCTTAAGGTCAGCTGTTCAAACCCACCAGCCTTTCTGAATCTGTCTGCTCAGATTTAAAAAGACCCGGATACCCTGTATTGGGTCGTTAGGAGTCAGAATTGACTTGGTGGCAGTGGGTTTGGTTTCAGTTCATATTAAAATAAATGCTTAAATCATTGATTCATTTCTGCTTGCTAGCCTCAAGCATGGTTTATATTTCTGTATCAGGAAAATTTAAATGTACTATGGACCAGTAAGCACAAATTTGTAAATGGCCAAATTACACAATGATGTGTGTTGTTTGCTTCATATATTTGATTAATATTTTTCTAAGTACTCAAGAGTTGTAGTTGAGTAGAGAAGGATTTATACACGCAGGCATTAACTTGTGTGTTTAAAAAGCAAAAGAGAAATTTACATTAAAAAAAGCCGTACTTTATCCAAAGTTATCCTGAGTTATAAAGCAGTGATGCTGAATGGGTATTTAAAATAACAGTTACTCATTGAGGTGTTTCCCTGGTGGCATAAGGGACGGCTAGCCATTGGAACTCCCAAGCTGCAAGAAAGGTGAGGCTTTGTGCTCCCCGACAGATTTCCAGCCTCGGAAACCCGCAGGCAGTTTGAATCTGCCTCGTAGGCTTGCTGGGAGTTGGAATCAGCTCAGTGGCAGTGAGTTGTTTTGCTTTTCTGTTAAATGTGTTTTCAACTGGGAACTCGGAGAACAAGACAAAAATTAGCATAAAAATGTAATACTCATCAAAGGAAATTAGAGAAAAATGAGGAAAGTAAAAACCTACTATCGATAAGTCAACATAATTTTTGTGTACGAACGTGATGAAAACCAGTCTGGTTTCCCTAAACTAATGTGCCTGCTTGCCACTTTCTGCCTGTGATGCAAATGTCTGGTTTCTGATCACGACACTGAAGCAGTGTGCTATAGTAACAAACACTACAGCATTCTTCAAACATAAAGCATGGGTTTCTTTTGTGAGTTTCTTTGTTTTATTTTACCACTCTTGTTTCTCTGAGTAGCATAGAATACTTGTTATGACAGATGCGTGTAACTCGTGTGAACAGAATAATTTACATGTCCGATAAGATGGAATCTATCTCAAATCAGTGCCTTAGACCTTCATGATATGTTCCTAATCTACATATCTCATTTTTTCCCTGCTTAAATTCTGTTGCCAGTCCCTGTGTGAACCATGCTATGTTCTATTTTATATAATTTAGTGGCTTCTTGTCGCTCACTGTTTTCTCAGCTTAGTATTGATGTCCTTTGACGAGCTTGTCTCTGAAAGACCAGCCTTCCCTAGGAGCTTTGTATCTCTGTTGGGTCTAGCCTGTGAGTTGTGCCAGAAGGTCCTGTCTTCATGCCGCCTTATTTCTGCCCTGACGTGGTTTCCATAAACCAGAATGCTCAAAGCTTAAGTGTAGATAACTAAATAAATAGTCCTTCTTCCTCCATTCCCCTCCTTCTGTCATTCCTTGCAAACTAAAAGCTTTATTGAGGTATAATTTACATACCATTAATTTTCAATTCACTTCTTTAAAATGTATAATTAATTATTTCTTTAGTAAATTGTCTGTTGTATAAACATCATCATAACCCAGTATTTCATCACTCCAAAAGATTCTTCATGCTTATTAACAGTTTAGTCCTGTTCCCAGTAGGAACACCCTGCTTTCAGTCTCAGTAGATAACCTCTAGGGGATATTTCATATACATGCAATCATACAGTATTTAGCTCGTTTCACTTAGCAGAATGTTTCTGAGGTTTTTACATGTAGCATGTACCAATATCCTATTTCTTCTATTGTTGAATAAGACTGTATAATGTTAGATCATAGCTTCCCAAATTGAACCACTTCCTTTTCAGGGAAAGAGTACTCAGTGTACCCCTAGTAATTAAAAAAATGCTTGTACGAAAGCCCATAATCCAGGATAAAAGTATAGGCCTCAGCTTTTGAAGCCCTGCTGGATTCTCCAGCAGCTGCCCCACCCCAGGTGGTACCTCTTACTTTAGAAAATACTGATTTAAATACTTGCATATGACGTTTTGTTTATTTTTACACGAGTTGATGGCCACTTGATTTGTTTCCAGGTTTTTGGCAGCTATAAATAATGCTAACTTGAATATTAACATACAAGTATTTGTGGGGATGTATATTTTCAATTCTCTTAGGTCATTACTTCGGAGTATAATTGTCAGATCATAAAATCCATTTATGATCATAAATCCATTTACCTTTTTTAAAAAGCTACCAAACTGTTTTCCATAGTGGTTGTGCCATTTTGAATTTTCACCAGGTGTGGATAAAGATTTAGTTTCTCCATATTCTTACCTCATAAATCCTTTCTGGATCATCGTGTGGTAGTTTCTTTTTATTCCAAATCATTCATATGCTGGCTCTTTAGGTATAAATTACAGTTTCTATTTGTAAATGTTCTTGAATTTTGTATTCTTTCTATAAAAGCATTTTAGTTACATATGGAGGTATTTACTTGCTTTCTCTTCTTTTCCAAAATTACATGCTAGCATTTAGGGTCAAAATAGAAATTTAATCTTTTTCGCTTTAATTTGTATTCTTTTGTATACTTTCTTTTTAAAAGCTTTATTGTAATTTGGGTTAAGTTTTACAGATTAGATAATTTTACATTCAATAATTCATGTACTTTTGATACATGTCATTCATTGCCGTTTTCTCAGTGTAACTTCACTTTAGCCTACTTTCTCTGTGTCTCCTATTTCCAATCCCTGTTCTGCCCTAATACTTCTGAATGTTGTCCTTGTGCTAATGCTGTCCTTTTGATTCTAAATGGCTGATCATTCTAAGGTGTTTGTGTCTCATTAGTGTTACTGTTCCCTTTATAGACCTGCCTATTATTTGGCTGAAAATTGAGCAGTAGGAGTGAGTTCAGTTCCAGACCTGAAGGATACCAAAGACCTTAGTCTTGGGAGTTCCACTAGTCTATTCATTAACTAAATCCTGGTCACTTTTTATAATTTTGACTTTTGTTCCATACACCCCACCACCACCAGCCCCCCATCCAGGACCTTCAAATGTGATCCTTTTTCAGAACAGTTATAGTGGTAGTGGGCACCATCTAGGTATTCAGGTCTCAGGCTTATGGAGGCCGATGTTTGTGTGGTCTGTTACACCACTGGACTAATTATACCCACTTGTCTCTGATCACTCTTCTTTCTTCTGGACAGTGAGACACCCAATAGTTACATCTAAATGTGATTGCTCATGAACTTTCAAGACGTCAGTCTCTACTCAGCAAAGTATGAACTATAACATTGTTTTATGGATTATGTTAAACCAGTTGACCTAGTGTCACCCAAGACAGTGGTCCTGAGCCCTCAGGCCCAGGGACTAATTCTCTCACAGTGTTTACTTATGTTTTAGATGTTTTCAAATGTTTTCCTGTTTGTACTTCATCAAATTTATCAATACTTTTGCAGCATAATAAAGATACATGTAGAAATATGCTCTTGCCAAACTCACATATATTTCTGGATGTAGACTCGATCTCCTCACTGCTGTTCAGCCTGTGTGTCTCATTGTTTGCAGAGTTGTATAGATAACAGTGTTTACTTCTCCTGTCTTTAACATTTTCACTTCTCCCAGTGTCTTCTAGTTTTTGCTGACCTCCCTCTCATTGTGTACTGCCATCCTCCACTCAAGTTAACATCACGTTAGTCTCTTTGTGCCGTGACTTCCCCTCCCTGAAACGCCCATCTCTGGTAACCATCAAAGAATGATTCAATTAGTGTGGAACCTTTTGGCTTTATATTACAACGTTTGCCCTTTAGTGATTAACTAATTCCATTCTGCGTAATGTCATTCATGTTTTGCAGTTTTGTCTTTATTTAACTTTATCATTGTGCTGAGTGCTTTTTGGGGGTTATTTTAGTGCCCCTTATTCTTTCTTTCACATAGCTTTTGGAGTTGAGTTCATTTCGTTTGTGGATTTTCTTGTCATTTTCTGCATTGCTACTGTTTCAGTGTTTACTGAGTATTTGTGATTTTTCTCTTTTTGCTTTTAATGAGAGGCTTACTTTCTTTGAGGTTATGTTATAATTTGTCTTATCAAGTTTTGAAACAGATTGTACTGCTTTGAAATCTACTTGAATTCCACTGCATTTGGAAGTTTTGTAACTGTACTATTCTATTTTACTTTTTAGTTGTCTTTGTTACAAATTGATATCCTTGGCGCCATGTTTTCATTCTTGTAGTTTTCTTTTTCTTTTTTACTTTGTACAGTTCTGTATCTGGCTTGATTTCTAGGTGATGTTATCAAGTATGTTAATCTCAGGGTTGCTGCTCTTGAAGGTTTTCTGTGCATAGAGCTTCCCCTAGTATTTCTTGTAAGGTTGGTCTGAGTTTAAAAATTCCTTTTTTTATATGGAAATGCCCTAATTTCGTGGTTGTACTTTTGGGACAGTTTTGCTGGGTGGTATATCATTCTTGGTTGACAGTATTTTTATTTCAGAATTTTACATTTGTTATCCTGTTGCTTGCTTGCCGGCATGGTTTCTCCTGAGAAATCAGAACTTAGTCTTGTTTGGTTCTCCTTAATGGGCAGCTTTTCATTTTCCCAAGTTATTTCCAAGATTTTTTTCATTCTTTAGTTTTAGAAAGTTTGATACGATATGTCATGGTGATTTTTTTGGGGGGGGGCGGTGCAGTCTGTCCTTTTGAAGCTTATTCAGCTAGAATGCAGACCTTACTCTGTTTCATGAGGTTAGGGATGTTTCCTCCAAAAAATATTTGACAACCTTTTCTGTTGCTTTTCTGTTGTCCCTTCTTGTTCTGGCATTCTCATTACACAGATAATCTAATGACGGTCAGGTGGTATAGGAGCGTGTAGTGGCCGCCACCAACCCATTAGGTAGGGCAGTATTGGGTTGCTATGCGTTGGCATAGATTCGATGCCAGTGTCATCAGTTTGGTTTTTGGTAGGACAAATGGGTTTGTCTCAGCTAAATGGGCACAGTTGCTTTCTTGTTAACAGTCACCAGTGTACATATGTATTATCAGGCCATTGTCTTGATTGAATGTTGCCTGCAGGAGTTTAGGATGGCCTCACTGTGTCAGATCAGCTGACAATTCACCTGTGTGTCTCCTCTCTCACCACTTTTATTCAGATTCTTCTCCTACTTGGTATTCAGTCCACTTCCCTCTGAAATTTAGGGCCCAGGATTATTTTACCTACATGTTTCAATTAATTTTTATGTCTTTATTGTAGAGGATCTGTATAGTGTGTCTGCCTAGTACACCATCATACCAAAAAGTCCTTTATATTTATTTTCAGCTAGAATTTGTGATGCATTTGTTATCTGACTTTAATTACTGAGTTCACTAGAAGCTCACAGCTGAATTTGCTACTTATAGCTTATAATTTTGGTTTGTTAACTTTATTCCAAACTTTACTAAAGTATTCTTACTTTCTTTAATTTCCATATTTATAATATTGTACTCTTTGTGTATTTGCATACTACTTAAATAGGACAGTTAGTTTTGCTATAAAATGACATATTTGTTCCTAAAACAGTCTTATACAATGTCCTGCAAAAATAAAAGGTTTATGTTGGAAAAATGGGGTTAAGAAAACAATATTCAAAAATTTTGTCCATGATACAATAAAAACAGACAGGTAGCTAATTTAAATGGGAACACAGTTTTATATATATGTTAAATGGTTAAGAAATTTGGCACTTAATCTTGAAAATACTCCCAATTTATTTGTGAAAGTGAATGTTAGCTGCAGTTTGTGAGCTATTATGAAGTAATGAAAGGAAAATTATTAAAATGGGAAGAAATTATAATACCAGATGAGTCTGAGTGTGGTTTATAATACACTGGTGTAAGCTGAAGTAGCTGATAAATGTTACAGTGTGTACATTTTGTGTATTATTACATGGCTTAGCTCAGTTGACCTGGCTGATGTCTTATTACATATTTTTTGTGTGTGCATGAAATCACATAAACAAAAGTGATATTCTTGTTGTATTCATATTACCTCCTAATACATCAATTGCAATGGACCAAATTTGCCTTTTGAAAATGAGCCTCATGATAGAACTGACTATGTAAATCTTGAGAGGAAAAGATTAACTTTTTATCAACAAGTTGATATGTATGAACTTCTCTTTCTTCTTTAACATAATTTGCATTGTTTCTGAAAGTTCAAATGATCACAAGAATTTTCTTTGTAGGAAACTACATTCTAAATTATGTGGCATCCCAACCCAAGCTGGCTCCTTTTGTTATTCAAGCACTTGTACAAGTCATTGCTAAAATAACTAAGTTGGGGTGGTTTGAGGCTCAGAAAAACCAGTTTGTCTTCAGGGAAATCATTGCTGATGTGAAAAAGTTTCTACAGGTAAGAAGCTGTTTTTACATTGTTGGAACATTGCTAGTTGCATTTTGAGTGTAGAATGCTATTTTTGTAAAGTTCAATTGTTTGATGTGTAGCTTTCAGTACCACATTACTTAGGATGTTTTTTATTCCTTTATTACCAGCAAAGGAGAATCATGTTGCTAGAGAGTTCTAAATCTTCCAAATCAGAGGAATGTAAATCACAATGATTTCTAATTTTAAAAGTATATGTGCTCCCATTTGTGATATTTATATATTTTATACTGCATATATTTAAAAATATATGCACTTTTAATATGTATGTTTGTTACACAATCCCAGTATTTGGACATTACAAAGGGAGGAAAAAACGTGCAGGGAATTAATTTAAGTTATGTTAGTAATCCCAGTTACATTCCACCCAGTTATAATATGTATTGGTGTTGGTTCTCATAAGTCTTTTTCTTGGCAACTAGCCCAGTTGAGTATGATCCAAATATTTAAATACCCATTTTCCACCCTGTCACCACTCTTCGTAATTGCAAGGTGGCTCTGTTGTTGAAGTGTTGGACTGCTAACCTTAAGATTGGGGTTTCTAACCCACCAATTGCTCTGAGCATGTAAGATGAAGCTGTCTGTTACTGTAAAAATTTACACAGTCTATTAAAACCCTGGTTATCAAATATTTCCAGAATTAAGTACATTTCTTGGCCATCAGATCAGTAGTGTACAGGGAAACAGAGGGATAGTGTATTCTGAGACTGATGAACATTGGAATTGTGAATGTCATTCTGGCTTGCACAATAGGATTCCTCCTCATGTTATCTACTAAGATTCTCTGTAATTCGTTTTGAATCATTAGCACAGATAACCTTAGACTATGGGGCTCTTTTAAAGTACCGTCAAGTTTGAGCACTGAATGGAGGGAAATAATTCTTGTTAGTTAACATTTACCTCTAATGTTCTCCATTAGCTTTAGTGTGTGGGGAGGCCCAAGGAAACAAAGTGTTTTTATCTTCTAGGTTTATTGTCGTTTTATAACCAACTATTTGGCACTTATTTTCTGGGTATATGACTTGACCTAACCTTGAGTCATGAGAAAGGCAATTGCCTGTAATGTTTTACTACTATAAAATGGCACCACATGGCTCCTTTGGGAGTTAGCAGCTTCTGTGGATTTTTGCCTTAAAATTTATTTTAAGGTGTGTTAAATCCTTAATGGCTCTAAGTTTTGTGCATCTTCCTTTCTCTGTTATTGTAGCTTTATTGCTGTCATACTCCAAACATATTTAAATGCTTTCTTTTACAGCAGTGCTGTTAACATTGCTGATTATCAGTGAGTTATAGAGCTTGTATTAGAATGGAAGTCAACATGGTGCTTCCTTCATCTCAAAAGACTTGCTATTAATAATGTCATATGACTTACAGGGCGTACTTAGTGACCTTCAAAAACCAAACTCACTGCCGTGAGTTGATTCCAACTTAATAGCAACCCTATAGGACGGAGTGGAACTGCCACTGTTGGTTTCTGAGATGGCTTCACTGTGTATAGCAGTAGTAAACCTGCTCATTGTTCTCCTGAGGAACTGCTGGCTTCAAACTGCTGCCCTATGGTTTGCAACCCAACTAGTGCAGTCACTGTCATTCCTGCTGTTGTGTCTTCATGCCTGTGCCTTGCTCAGAATTTTGCCATAAAATCCTTCAGTGTTGCAAGTTTAGATTTGATTTTTTTCCCCTTCAGTTCTTTCAGTTCAGAAATGGCAACAGTGCTTTTTCGCTTTTGGTGTTCTAGCACTCGATCTTTGCCCATTTCATCACAATGCTTTCCTTTCTTCCTGAGCTGACTTTGGAATTCTTCTTTTCAGCTCTTTTACTTCTTAATTTCTTCTGTTCACTTTAGCTTCTCCGTGTATTAGAGAAAGTTTCAGAGTACCCTCTGATAGCCATTTTCGGCTTTTTATTTCTTTGTTGCCTTTCATTGACCTTTCGTTTTCAGTCATCCCATAACTTGTCTGGTCTTCAGTTGTTAGTGTTCAATACATCAAATCTAACCATGAGTTGGCCTCCAAATTCTGATGGGATGTTCAAGGCCAGACTTTGACTCTAAAGGCCTTTAAATTTTTTTCTCCATATTCAACTACATTTGCATATGAACCAATTGATAGTCTTTCTTCCTCAGCACTTGACATTGTTCTAACTACTGTTATTCAGCGTTTCTTTGCAGAGGTATGTTTTGATTCATATGGTTTCATCTGGTGAAGTCCATATGCATATTTGCCACTTATGTTGTTGAAAAAGGGTATTTGCAATGAATTCGTTGTTGGCCTTGCAAAATTCTGTCTTGTGATCTTAGCCAGTGCTGATCCTTCTTTGTTTCCAATGTTGGCATTCCAAGCAGCAGTAATTATCACTGATTCTTGATTGCATATTTGATCAATTTCAGGATGCAGGACTTAGTAAAACTTCCAATTTATTCACCTTTGACATATTGCTGGTTGCATAAATTTGAGTAATACAGTGAATCCTCGCCACTTTGCGCTTCGACTTCCGCGGCTTCACTCTATCGTGGTTTTTGCGTAACAGTGCATGCTCTGTCATTACTGCCACTGATTGGCTCATACTGTACACGCTTGATGCCATAAATAATATAATAATAATAAATGATAATTGTAACGTCCAAAATGTTTTACTGTATTTTCCCTTTTTCATTTAATAAATTGGGTAATACGAGTGTAATGGTGACTAAAGGGTGTTTTTTCATGTCCTCTATGCTCTAACTATGAAAATATTTGATTTACAAATAAGGAATCCTACTTCGCGGAATTTCATTTATTACGGTAGGGTCTAGAACCGATTAACTGCGATAAACGAGGGTTCACTGTAGTTGTATTAACTGCTCTTCTTCATAGATGTGCCCCACAACAAACAGTAGTGCACTTCACGGTAGATCTTGAAATGTTCTTTTTTGACAATGAATGAGATGTCGTTCTCCTTTGGTTTAGCATTCCTGGCAGCATAATAGATCAAATGATTGCCCCATTCTAAATGACCAGTAGCCATCTATTTTAGCTCACTAATGCCTAGGACATCACATTTTATATGATCTATTTCATTTTTGGCAACTTTCAATTGTCCTAGATCCATATTTCATGGGCTGTATTAGTGGATTTTTACAGCTGTTTATTCTAATTACTTCTAAAAGATGCATATGTTGAGGCCATGAAACTATATACCTTATTTATAGATAACTTAGTAGAGTGGGTACCTTAGATTCTCATATTTAAAGTTCTTAGTAAATACATGCACTTGCGTTATGAAATAATGTTTTAAAAATATTATTTGATATTAAATCCAAAGATTTAAATTAATTACTAAGCTATTCATTATTGTTAATACAACTATGTCAGTTGTCTTGTAGAACTAAACAATTTTTTCGTTCTTATGCATGATCTTATAAAAAACATTAAAGCCAACTCTTGGATTTTTAAGTCCAATTCTATGCCTTTTGTAGCGTATCTTGCCTTTCTAAGGTAGGCAGACCTTTTCCAACTCAACTCTACGAAAATTTATTCTTCAAAATATGAGCTTGGCATTCTTTTAATGTGTAGAATTCATATTCATTTTCCATGCATTTCAATAGATATATTTTTAATTAAGTGTGGTGCTTAACTACATAATTATTTGTAAATATTGCCTGGTTTATACCTCTATCATATGGGTCTACTTTTGCTAAACTTGGTTATTTTCTCTAAAGGGCACTGTGGAACACTGTATAATAGGAGTAATGATTCTCTCAGAGCTGACACAGGAAATGAACCTGGTAAGCATTTTCATCTAATGGAAAATAAAGTTTGTGTTAGTGCAGCTGTGTATATGCTGGGTTTGGTGGCAAAAATGTACATCCTTTATGTGGCATAAAACCGAATAGATATTTTTTTGGTTGCTTTTATTGGTGGGGTAATTAAGTATTAGAATACTTTCATTGTCATTTAAAGTATCACCACTAGAATAAAGTACTACAAAGAACAAGGAATTAGACATGGCCCTTGCTCCATGGACAGTTGGAAAATTTTCCTTTTATCTTCACATAGATATATATGCAGGAGAGAAACAAACCTTTAGTCATGGACAAATAAAGACAAGAAGTTGAGTGAATTGTTTTTCAACAGTGGGGACTAGGCAGGACACATCAAAGAACAGACCTCTGGGGAATTTGCTATTCGCTGATGGCTTTGCCTCTCCCTGTATAAGGAGAGTTCTTAGAAGCTGCACCTCCCCCCAGCAGTGCTTTCAGTAGCTCAGCAGCTGAGCACATCATCACCTGCTCCTGTGCACTTTTGCACTTAATTTTGTTGTAAAGAGAAACAAAAGCAGGAGTTAGTTCCTGGTGGAATAATTTTATTAAAAGTGGGGGAAGGTAGTATTTAAATTTAAAAATTGTTGTCATTCAAAATGGCATGTTGGGGGAGTGTGTTGTGTATTTGTATAGATTCATTGATTCATGCATGCACACACAATTGTATATATAGTCAATCTTTATCACTCTCGGATTCTGTATTTGTGTGCATGCTAAAAATTATTTATAATCCCAAACTCAATATCTGCAGCACTTTTATTGTTTATGGACATAAACAGAATTTTTAGCAAGCAAGGTTGTGCCATCTGCATACTGTAAATAATCAAGAAATGAACACTAACACACTGTAATTAGGTGCCATTGAATCAAGTATGACTCTCAGCGACCCTAATGTACAACAGAGTAAAACGTTGCCTGATCCCTGCGCCATCCCCACACTTTTTCTGATACTGGAGTCCATTGTTGCAGCCACTGTGCCAGTGCTTCTTGTTGAGTGCCTTCTTTTTTTGTTGCCCTTCTACTTGACCAAGCATGATGTCCTTTGCCAGGGAATGGTCTCTACTGACAACAGGTCCAAAGTACACGAGACACAGTCTCCTCTGGAGCACCCGGACTTCTCCCAAGACAGATCTGTTTGTTCTTTTGGCAGTTGGTGGTACTTCCAATATTCTTCACCTACACCATGATTCAAATGCTTCGATTCTTCTTAAGTGCCTAACTTTCACATGCATATGGAGCCATTGAAAATACTACAGCTTTGGTCAGGCCTACCTTACTCCTCAAAATAACCTCTTTGTTTTTCAACACTTTAAAGGGGTCTCATGCAGCAGGCTTACCCAATTCAGTGCTTTATTTTATCTCTTTTGCTTTTTTTTTAAGAAAAAAACCATTTTATTGGGGGGCTCTGACAGCTCTTAAAACAATCCATACATCAGTTGTATTGAGCACACTTGTACATATGTTGCCATCAACATTTTCAAAACATTTTCTTTCTACTTGAGCTCACCCAAGCTTTCTACTTGAGCTCCACTCATCACACCTCTGATTAATTCCTTATACCAATATGGATTGCTGTTTGCTATTTTTATTTATTTAATAGATTATGATTTGTTTTTGATAATATTTATACCAATACTCCCAATTTCCACCAATTTTACCAGTTGCCCTTTCAGGCTGGCTTTTGCATACATTTGACATCTCCTCACCACTGTTTGAATACTTTCTTCCCGGAACAGCAAGGTGCTTCCAGGTTTTTCTCATAATTACTAACCTTACTGCTGTTGACTGAATTCCAACTCATAGTGCCCCTACAGGACAAATTAGAACTGCCCCTTATGGTTTCTGAGACTGTACGTCCTTATGGGAACAGAGAGCCTCATCTTTCTCTCGAGGGCTGCTGCTCTGAATCCTAACCTGTGGCTAGTAGCCCACCACGTAGCCCATCGTGTCACCGGATCCTTGTGTTTGGCCAGCTACCTTAAAAAAGTTCTGAGGGCTGGAGTTTAACTTAAACCTTGGTGAAAAAAATAGCGTCTCTAGAGATATTATAATATTTATTCTAATATTTCTAGTATTTAAAGATATCTGAAGAGCTGTAGTTGTAATTTTTAAATGTATCTTACAGTAATTTTATTGTGAAAATTTAACTTCATAAAACTTAAAACAGTATAATGATATAATAGTATAATTGCTCCACATTTTACTTAGCCTAATTGTAGATCATTTATAATTTAAACTAGCATTTATTAAGTACTTCTGAACCAGGCAGTAGTGTATCTACATTATCACTGTGTTGTTGTTAGACAATAAGTGGGTTCCAATTTATAGTGATCCTGGAGATCACAGAATTAAACACTGCCATTTTCACAGTCATTGCTGTGTGTGCAGCCACTGTCAGTCCATCTTACTGAGAGTCTTCCTCTTTTCATTAAGCCTCTGTCTACCAAGAATGATGTCTTTCGCCAGGGACTGGTCCCACCTGATAACAGGTCTGAAGTATGTGAGTTGAAGTAGTGTCACCATCCTTGCTTAGCATTCTGGCTATACCCAAGACAGATTTGTTTGTTCTTATGTCAATATAGAGTATAACATTCTTCACTGGCATCATAATTCGGAGGCATTAATTCTTCTCTATCGACATTATATGGGGAAAATTCAGTATTATATTTCTCTCATGAGTCAGATAAATACATGTAATATTAGTAGTAGGATGTACCCTTTAAACAAAGATGTAAATTGGGCTTGCCTAAGAGTTAAAGAGAATTATTTAAATCATTTTGTGCTTTTAAAAGGCAGATTCATTTTTTTCTGATATATACTTAAGATATAATCATTAAAAAATAAGAGATCTTATGTCTGTGGTATAGAGTTATGGACATGCAACCCTCTTCCTTACAATATATATACTAGGCGGTACCCCAAAATACTGGAATTGTGCTGACAGAGCAGAGCTTTTGGAGTACTCATTTTTCCTGCTAGATGAGCACCGAGCAAGTGGCCCTGAGTTAGTTTGTGCACCCAGTGGCGTTGCCTGGGGAGGTTCTCTCTGGTCACTGAGTTTTTTTCATAAAGGCAGTTTCACTCAAACCTCGTTTTTTGTCATGACCAATTTAAGAGAATAGTGAGTGGCCATGAAATTTTGCTTTGTGCTGGGGGAGGGAGGCTGTAGAAACTGTTGGGATGTTGAACACAGCTTACAAGGCTAGCACTTTGGGAAAAACTGAAGTGTATGAGTAGTTTTCGCATTTCATACAAGGTGACGTGTTTATTGATGACAAACCTTGTTCTTGACATCAGTCAACTTCCCAAACAGACGAAAATGTCTACTCATAGTGCATACCACCAGATCAGAATGTTAATCAAGCTTTCTATTTAGAGGTTCTGAAAAGATTGTGTAACAGTGTGCAACAAAGCAAGACAGTGCACTTATGCAGCCATTAGTGCGCGCCAGTTTTTTGGCAAAAAACAGCATACCTCTCTTCCCCCACGCACCTTACTCACCTGACCTCGTTCTGTGCAACTTCTTTTTGTTTCCATGAATGCCGAGTGTCATGAAAAGACAGCAGTTTGACAATGGAGAAGAGGTGAAGAAAAAACGAAAAACGAGGGGGTTGCTGTCAGCTATCCAAACGGGTGAATTTGAAAAATGTTTCCAAGAATGGAATCGCAGATTTGACAAATGTATTAAGTGTAATGGAGAGTACTTCGAAGGTTATAACGTTGTTTTGTACCAAAAAAATTGAAATACATAGTTTTGAAAAATAATAATTTTGAGGCGGGGTATCCCCTGTGTGTGTGTGTGTGTGTGTTTGTGTGTGTATGTGTTTGTGTGTAATGAGTCACATTAGTAACAGAAGCTTGTAGGTCTTGACGCTAACTCTAGAATCAGACATGGGTTTGTATTTTAGCTCTGTTGCTAACTAATTTTTTACAAATGTTATAACTTTTTTAAATTTAGAAGAGGACTTCAAACAGTCCACTTGCCCAGTGCACATTTTGAAACCATCTTGTACATGTGTTGGTCTGTTAAGTGAGAGTGATACTGCTTACCGGGTCTTTTTAAGATTAGGTAGCTAGTCGCTCACACAGGGCCTACTCCATGTACCAGTGTCCTCTCTCTTTGGTAAGGACATGCTGATAATGATTGATCTGTAAACGCATTTCTCATCTGTAAAAGGAGACTATGGATTACCTTTGAAGATAAAGAAGTAATAAGTGAAAAACACTTGATGATTTACAATGCCACATACTATTAATTTACATTGAGGCTTTAATTTTTTTTTCATATATTGACACCATAATTTTTAGAGACAAACTTTGAAGTTTGACTTAAGAAAATGACAACCAGAAAACTCTACTTTCCATCTTACATATTGGATACATTTTCAGTAATAGCTATGTTGAATAATAACTATGAACTTCTGTTATAACTAAACCTGGCATCTAGATAGTTAAATTATATTTTGGAGCTTAGACAGTGTCAGATAATCAATTTTGCGCTCTCTGCTTTCTTTAAATCTATAATTGTTAGCAAGGGAAATGGTTTATTTTCTTCTCCCAGATAACAAAGACGATAAATAGTAATGCGTTAGCAACTATAAACTCTGTTGTTAATAATAATAATAATAATTGAACACAGACTACTGCTTTGTTTGCTGGTTTCCTGTTGACAAACTGTCATGTACAGTGTCGAGCATACTATATTTTCAGTTAGCGGCTGAAGAGCTAACTGTCCTAGTGAGTCTATTCCTAAGAACTATTTCTCATTATGTTCTAAAAATATCAAGATGAGTACACTAGTATTTATATAATAAATTGTTTCTAATTATTTATAAGTTCTATTTTAGTTTGTTTTCAGCATACCACGGATATAAGAATACATAGCATATATGATATAGACACAGATGACATTTTCATATAGAAATTTTTTCTGTAACTACACGTAGCAACTCCTTTCTTGATGAGTTGTTAGCTGACATTTTGCATTATAAAAAGTCTGTCATACAACTATTATGCACTGTAACGACGTACATTGGCTGAGGGGGTAGCTGTGATGCCCAAGGTTGTGTGTCGACTTTCCTGGGCCTTGCTTGTCTCTGATTTGGCAGTTGCATTATCTGGTAGTTGTATGATAACGCAGTGATTTCCCATTTTGTGATCTGGTGTTGTCTTCCTTCATTTTTATGTTACCCTGATTTCCACATAACAATCTAGTCTTTGGAACCCAACCCTGTCAATAAGTGAGGAGAGGGTATAATTCACTTTGCTGACAGATCCACAGAAAGTTTCAAAGATTATTTTGGATGTTCTTCGTTCTACATGTATCATTTAGGGATCAAAGAATTTGCTATTTGTCCAATATGAAATAAAGCACACGGGTAAAGAATTGGTAGTTCATATGTTTATACTGCCTGCAAAGATTTGATCCTACTCTGATTCTTAATTTTGCATCAGTATGATTTGTAGAAAGAGAATTGAATTTTAACAATTAAGAAACTTGAATGTTAACTCTGATTCTGCTATTACGTCTTTGAGTATCCTGGAGTAACTCACTTTCTTGGTAAAATTTCAAAAGTTCTATTAACGCTATCTATGTCTTGCTCTTTAATTACTATCTCCACTTTTAATTTACTACATTTCTGCTTTGCTTTTTGGTTAGTTATTGTTAAAATAATTCATCTTGGTCTTTTTAGGTTGATTATTGTAGATCTTCAGCAAAACACAGGAAAATAGCTACCTCATTTCGTGACTCTTCTCTCAAAGACATTCTTGTGCTAGCATGCTCTCTTCTGAAAGAGGTGAGTTGCGTAATATGCGCTATCATGGAGAAAAATAAGAGTTTCAAACGAATTTTAAATAGATTTCTTTTTTATTCTGCCATTTGAAGTATTCCTCTGGACAGTCTTGGCCTAGAAGAAATTGCATATTTGGGATATGATCAAGTCCAAAGGGAATTTTATAATTTGTCCTTAGGCAGTATTTTCACTGTCTTCCTTCTGTAGATTCCTTATTTTGCAGAAAATAGTTGATTCTTCTTTTTTTTATATATATGTACACTTGGAAGATATCTTCTTTTTAAAAAAAAATCATTTTATTGGGGCTCATACAGTTCATCACAATACATACATCAATTGTGTAAAGCACACTTATACATTTGTTGCCTTCATCATTCTCAAAATTCACTTTCCTCTTGGGTTCCTGGAATTAGCTCATTTTCCTTTTCCCCCCTCCCCCCTCCCTCCTCCATCATGAACCCTTAATAATTTATAAATTATTATTATATCTTATCTGACACTTCCTGGCGTCTCCCTTCACCCACCCTTCTGTTGCCCATCCCCCAGAGAGGAGAGTATATGTAGCTCCCTGTGATCAATTCCCCCTTTCTACCCCCCCTTCCCTCCCGGTATTGCCACTGTCACCTCTGGTCCTGAGGGGTTCATCTGTCCTAGATTCCCCACATTTCCAGTTCCCATCTGTACCGCTGTGCATCCTCTGGTCTAACCAAGTTTGCAAGGTAGAATTGGGGTCATGGTAGTTGGGGGGAGGAAGCGTTTAAGAACTAGAGGGAGGTAGTGTGTTTCATTATTGCTATACTGAACCCTAAGCGACTCATCTCCTCCCCACTACTCCTCTGCAAGGTATGTCCAGTTGTCTACAGATGGGCATTGAGTCTCCATCACGCGCCACCCTCATTCACGATGATGATTTTTTGATTCTTAATTTTTTTACTGCTCTGCTCATATTTTCCTGGAGTATAGATGAACAGTGATGCTAGTAAGTTTTCTTAATTTATTAACTCTCAAGCTTTATTCATAGTTGAGCCAAGATAGTTGACTTCAATACTATCTGTGGACACATTTTCTCATTGATAAGTTAGTTCCCCTTTGAACATTATGGATAGCATAATGCCTAGTTACATTTTATCCTCTTGTATACTGTATATACTTGTGTATAAGCTGAGTTTTCCAGCACTTTTTTAATGCAGTTTTGGTGGTAAAATTAGATGCCTTGGCTGATGTTCACGTTGGCTTATACTCGAGTATATACGGTAATAAGGAGACGTCATCATAGTGCTCCAGCTTAATGGCCCAGTGCATTATTTCCTAAAGTATGTTCCAGTAAATTGAGGTTACTGGGTTCTTAATTAAAAGGACACCATCACAAAAGTTTAAATAACAAACTAAGATAAACTTATCTGTTCTAATAAACTTTCTAATTATTTTCTAATGAACTTTTGAAAACCTTTAGTGTATTCATGATTACTGTGAATTGGCAGCGAGGGAAGGGAAAGTTTAGAGTAGAACACAGTTTCTGAAACACAGTTAAGGTATACTAAAAAATAATTTGAAAATATTTTTATCCACTTTTTTCAATTGTGCTTATAGTACATGATAACTGCCACAGTAAATCAGATCTAAAGACCTTGTATCTTAAAGATCCCTGGTCACACAGTGGCTAAGTGCTCATCTGCTAATCAAAAGATTGCCAGTTCAAATCCACCAAATTCTGTGCAGGAGGATGATGTAACAGTTGGCTTCTGGAAAGATTTCAGCCTTGGAAGCTGTATGGGACAGTTCTACTCTGTCTTCTAGGGTTGTTATGGGTCAGAATTCACTTGGTGGCAATGACATTTTAGATTATCTTCTAAGAACAATTATTATGGAAAATGTAACAGATAGAAATTTGATGGAATAATATAGTGAAAACATTGTACCCATCAACCAATTCAAGAGTTAAAAACTCATGGGCAGGCTTATTTCATTGTTATTCCTGTTGAGGAACTTCAAGCTGTATATTGTTTTCCCACAAATGCATCTCTCTATCGAGATGGACATTTGTAAGTGTCAGCATAGCTCTCCAGCAGCTTTGTGTATTCCCACCTTCAAACATCTCCAACAACTTCCCTTAACTGAATATGGATCTTTCTTACTTCTCTTGAAGGAGATTGTGATTTCAGCTTGTTCTTAACAATTTTTGAGCAAACGAATACCTTGTGGTTAAACTATTTTGCTCTGTAAAATATTTGTTCTAAAGGTGATCGACAAAAGCTCTTATTATCATTTCACAAATATATAAAGTGATCCGCTGTAGAAATGTTTGGACAGTAGTTCTACCAATTTTTCCTAATATATACTATATAACTTGTTAAATATTTTTTTGTTTATTTTACGTGGCACTGAAGGTTTAAGTCATGGAAGTTAAAGACATTGACTATTGTGTTTATAGAACAAAGCATAATTTTACATTCAACGATTCATATACATTCTGATTCAACTCATCCTATGCATTCCCCTCGTCAGTTTTCTCACTTTCTGTCTGTGTTTCCTGTTTCATAATGCTTTGATCCTCCTTGGGTAAATGCTGTGCCTTTGATCTTAAATCGCTGATTGTTCTGTTGCAGGGGTGAGTTCAGTTTTAGACTGAGGGGTAAGGACATAGCCCAGAGTGCCACCAGTCTCCGTCAGACCGGTACTTTTGGTCTCTTGTATGATTTTTAGCTCAGTTCCAATTTTTCTTCCTCAATTCATTCTCTTCTAATATCCATTTCAGAGCAGTTGTAATAGCTGGGCACCATCTAGTTCTTTTCATCTGAGGGTTGTGGACACTGAAGTTTGAAAAAATCTGTTAGGCTGTTGGACTCATAGTTTCCATTTGTCTTTTGATTTTTATCACTCTTAATTTCATCTGGACAGGGAAAGACCAATAGTTGCTCCTTAGATGACTGCTGATGACCTTTTAAGACCCCCATCACCACTCACCAAATTGGGGTGTAAAACATTGTCTTGGTGGACTATCTTATGCCAGTAGGCGCAGTGGCTCTGAGACGAGGATCCTGATCCCCTAGGCCCCGTGATTTGTTCCTCCAAAGTGTTTGGTTATGTCTAAGGCTTTTTCATCACTGTCCCAGTGTGCTCCACTACATTCATGGGTATATGGGCAGCAAAGGGTATATACACATAAATAAATGTTATCTGGGAAACATGCATAACCTTGAAAGGTTTGTTAGAGTTAAAGGCAACAAAGGCAAATGCTGGTGTATATACAAACCTATAACCATGAAGATCTATGAATAGACACTTGGATAGATAAACAGGCTGAATAAGTGAAGGAAAAATTTAGCATGATTTTATAGTTTTACTTGACTTCAAACTTTATTTTTTCTCTTTTTTCAGGTGTTGGCCAAACCTTTAGATTTACAGGATCAGAATCAACAAAATCTAGTAATGCAGGTCTTAAAACTGGTTCTCAACTGCCTTAACTTTGATTTCATTGGCAGTTCAGCAGATGAATCTGCTGATGATCTTTGTACAGTGCAGATTCCAACAACCTGGAGAACAAGTAAGGCACAAATTTATTTTGAAGGATAGTCAACATAGAAGTCACAGAATTAAACAAAATAGTCCCCCTCTGCATGATTATCTCCTTTCTTGCTACACATTCAGCAAAAAGAAGGATTTATATCCCCAAGTAATTGCTGATAGCCTCTTTTAAAACCCCTTAAAAATATTTCCTCTATTATTGTATTGTAACAACTTTCATACTTTGAATTTGTAAGAAAATATCAAGACTGAACTCTAGAGCTAGGGGAAAAGCAGGTTTGGGAAGTAAAATTAAGTGTTCGATTTTGAATCTCAGCTACACGAGAGTGAGAACTAACACAGTCATAGGGAAGAGAGTTCAACATGCTTCTATTTTTTTCCCCCGACTGTATTTTATTTTATTTTTTACATTAGATCATTTTATTGGTTGCTCTTACAGCTCTTATAACAATCCATACATCAGTTGTATCAATCACATTTGTATATATGTTTCCATCATCATTTCCAAAATATTTTCTCTCTACTTGAGCCCTTGATATCAGCCCATTTTCCCGCTCCCTCAAGAACCCTTGTTAATTTATAAATTATTATTATTTTCTCATGTCGTACACTGTACGTCATCTCCACCCACTTTTCTGCAGCTCCCTCAACATGCTTTTTAAGGTTGAAAGGAAATCAATTGGAGTAACTGACTTAGCAGAGCAATGTTGTAACTTACTTCTTTATGGAGAGGGGTACCAAGAGAAAAAAATTGATTGGCCTCCATATACACCAGAGAAATCATAGTACAGGGTGCAGGGGTCAGGAATGGTGCTGACGGGTTGAAAAAAAGTATATGCTAAATAAATCTACCAAGATTTTTTTTTGCCACCTGTGCAGTGAAGTGACTGCTTAACCTCACATCTACCCCACTTTTCTTTTCCCTTCCCTCTTGTTTCCCAGTACCAAGGGTTTTTTTCCATAGAAAATTAAATAGGCTTCATAGTTAAGGATACCAGAGATAGAGCAGAAGAAATTTCATGAATACTTTGCTGATATTGAGATCAATGACTAAAGGAAACATTGAAAAGGGACTTATTCTTTTTCCTGACTATAGTAGTGAATACACAGATGCATACATGCTATACAATTGCGCAGAACTGAGTACATATGGACATGTATAGCTACACAATGATTACATGTAAAAGTTGAAACGCTCTAAAGATCAGGGGACTGTATCATTGGTTTCCTGTTATGATGCTGTGCTTTTGGTTTGCAAGAATTTACCATTGAGGGAAAACTGGATAAAAGGCAGATGGGGTCATAATGTGTTTTTTGCAATTGCTTTTGAAACTATAATTACCTCAAAAAAGATTGGTTTAAGAAAAGGCTTCATTAATAGACCCAGGAAGATTAAAAAAAAAAAAAAAAGCATTGCATCCCTGAAATTGGAGAAGATTGTTTTAAAAAGAAACATTAGAGAATGTTACACATTAAAAGGGCAGTAGCCCAAATATTCAGTGAATATTTAGAAGGCAAAATTAAGGAAATCTCCCAGAAAAAGAACAAAAGAACAGCAAAGCTTTGATAAGAGAAAACGTTAGGTGCAACTAGAAAGTCCGACATCTTATTGTAAGGATCTATAAGAGACGAGGGAGGTGGGGACTGAGCATGATAGTGAGACAGGAAGAAAGTCAAGGGAAATAGAGGAAAGACCTGGGAGGCAAAGGTCATTTATAGAGGTCTAGATAAAGACATGTACATATGCAAATATATTTATGAGGATGGGGAAATAGATCTATGTGCCTATATGTATAGGTTTAGTATTAAGGTA